TCTCTCGAATCGTCACCGCCACAGGACGCTGCCGCGACTCCTCGAGGCTCGACTGGGGCTGCGTGTCCGGCACGGCGGCGCCGTACTGCTTGAGCATGTCGGCCGCGGAACCGCTGAAGGTGGCCATTGTAGGGCGGCGGTGGTCGCGGTCGTCGACGAGGCTCTGGAGGCGGCGACGGCTGCTCTGTCGCTGTGGATTCGTCCGCGAGCGCCTCGAAGTCGGCGCCGCGCGGCGGCGCGGCGCGCGCGCGGCCGGCGGCCGGCGGCCGCGCCGGCAGACGTAGTCGCTCCCGTGCGTTAGCCCCAGCGGCCCACAGATCTGGACTCCGGCTACAAGTCCCGAGAAACAATCCGCACATTACGCCCCCCCGTTGCTCGCTTCGTTGCTCGTCACGGAGAACGTCGTCTCGACGGGCGGCGTGTCGACCGGCGCCAGGGACGCTCTCCATGGGAAAAACCGCCGCGGCGTCGTCGGCCCGCCGAGCGGCGTCGTGTCCCGGCCCTTGGCCAGCAGCGACGACCGGCGCTGAGAGGGGTCCTCGGCGTGCTCCGGCGAGAAGCGCGCGGCCACCGCCGACACGAATCTCTCCCCCGAGAACTTGCGCTTCTCGCGCCCGACGACGGCCGACGACCGCCGCCGGTGCGACGCCTTGCGCTGGGTCTGGAGGATGGCCAGCGCGCGCGACTTCGTCGGGTTCTCGTCGATCTTGACGTCGAGCACGATGCCGCCGAGGTCCGGCAGCGCCAGGCGCCCGCCGTCCTCGCGCGCGGCCGCGAGCGCCGCGAGCTCCGTCCAGAACGACACGAGCGCCCAGGACCGGTGGCGCCCGCCCCTCATGGGCTTGGCGCGGCACGACACGGTCGCGATGCCGCCGAAGCGCTTGAACTGGCCCTCGAGCCACTCGGGCGCGCACAGCGCCTCCGGCACGCCGCCGACCCAGACCGTCTGGCTCCGGGGCACGCCCGAGACGCCCGCCTGCTCCGCGAGCATCTCCAGGAGCACCGTGTCGCCCTGGGGCCACACGGGCAGGACCCCCTTCCGGAACGCGTCGCGCGGGATGTAGGCGAGCGAGCAGTGGTCGCAGGCCTCGGCCGTCAGCTTCTCCGTGAGCGGCGCGAGCGACGCCTGGATCTCGTCGTCGAGGAGCGCCGTGATGGCGACGACGTTGTTCACGTCGGACCAGCGCAGCACCTTGAACTCGGCGCCCGTGCCGTCGAGCACCTTGACCTTGCCCGCGAGGACGATGTAGACGCAGTCGCCGTACGCGCCCGGGTCGA